CCGGTCACGAAAAAAAAAAAAAAAAGAAAAAAAAAAAAAAAAAAAAAAGACAAGGAGTGATCGTGGAGAAAAATACGTTTCTCTTCTAAAAATGACTGGCAGTGCTCCCAAACCACGAAATCCATTGGGAAGGCAGGTGGGTTCCCACCCTGCCAGCCGCTGTACTGGCACAGAAAGGAAATCCTGGCTCTCAAGTAAACTGTGTCCAGGAGGTGGCCTGTGGCCCAGGCCATGGGCAGAGGCAAGGTGTCAGGTGGTGTGCCCACCCCGCCCCACAAGCAAGCCTGACCACGCAGAGTGATGCAGGCCGCCAGCCACCACGCGCCCAGCGCACTTCCTCAGAGGAAGCTCCACACGTGGTGAGTGGCAGGGGACAGCGCAAAGGCTGACAGACCCTGCTGTGCAAGGCTGAAGCTGAACTGGAAGATGTGTCATGAAAGGAAAACTGAAAAACCAATCTGCTCTCCCACCTGCCAGACGGAGTGCACAGAGAAGGGCAGCCTGGCCCTTTATCTCATCCGCTGCTGACCATGACATGAATATGCTACATGCCATCACGCAGTCCCTCTCACAGCACCACTACGCCCAGCATCAGACCCCACAAAGTGTCTGCCGTGGGCATCTCAGCATTTTCCTGAGCAGGAGATACCAACCATGGGAGAGGTGCTTATGGTCTAGGCAGACAGGGCCCCATGATAGTGCTCATTCAGGGGGTGACACGTCCTGAGCACCAGGCTGGGGAGCACACGAGGTGGGAAACAGGCCACGCCCGTGAGAGCTTTGCCTAGTGGCAGTAGGCAAAGCCCTACATGCGCGATCACAATGCAAGATGAAGGCAGACACCCTGGGAAGCTCCTGGCCACGGCTACGCCCCCACCTGAGCAGCCTAGAGAAAGATGGGGGGAATGTAGGCAGCCCCCCGGCAGGGAACCAATCGCCCCACCTACAATGAGAGGATGCAGCCAGCGTGTAGGATGAGAGTGCCTTCCCGCTCTTTACCATCTCTTCCCTGAACTCTGTGAGGAAAAACGCACACGCGCGTTTACTTGAAATTTACCGAGTTCAGTTCACTCTGCCTTGCCTGTTTCTTTTTTTAAAACACAAGTTAGGGGGCTGGCCCGTGGCTCACTTGGGAGAGTGCGGTGCTGGTAGTGCCGAGGACGTGGGTTCGGATCCTATATAGGGATGGCCAGTCAGCTCACTTCAAAGAGCGTGGTGCTGACAACACCAAGTCAAGGCTTAAGATCCCCTTACCGGTCATCTTTTAAATAAATAAATAAATAAATAAATAAATAAATAAAACACAAGTTAAATAAAATACTAATTGTTGTTCCCCAAACTAGTGACCCACACAACCACCTGGAGGAATCTCAAGGGCACGACAGTGTGTGAAGACAGCCCATCCCACAGATTACGTTCATCCAACACCCTGGAGTGGCAGAGCTGCACAGCTGGAGGAGAGGCCACGGCCTCCAGGGTTTAGAGATGGGGTGACTATAAACAGGCAGGACAAGGAGATCTTCATGGTGACAGAAACGTCTGTACCTTGTTATGGTGGTACTTGCATGGATCTACACATGTGTACCAACGGCAAACTCCTTGTCCTGGCACTGTGCTAGTTACATAAAATGCAGGCAGTGGAGGAAACTTGGTGAGGGGTACATGGACCCTCCCTGTACTATCTCTGCAACTTCCTGTGCATCTAAAGTTATTTAAAAGTTAGATTGTGTAGACAAGTGAGACCACATCAAACTTAACTTCTGCACAAAGGAAACAATCAATAGAGTGAAAAGGCAACCTACAAAATGGGAGAAAATATTTGGAAATCATATGCCTGACAAGAGATTAAATTCCTACCACTCAACCACAAAAAGTGCAAACAATCTGATGGAAACATGGGCAAAGGACTTACACAGGCATTTCTCCAGAGAAGAGATACAAATGATCCATAAGCACATGGAAAGACACTCAAAACCACAATGGGGTACCACCTCACACCCACAGGGTGGCTCCTCTCAAAAACCCGGAAGACAGCCAAGTGCTGGTGAGGACGCAGACAGACACTGGAGCCTTCTGTGCACGGCTGGCAGGAACATGGAATGGTGCATCTGCTGTGCAAAACAGCATACGGTTCCTCAAGACAACATGGAACTACCACATGATCCAGCAATTCCATTTCTGGAAAATAGCCAACAGAATTGAAAGCAGCGTTTCAAAAAGATATCTGCACACCCATGTTCACAGCAGCATTATTCACAGTAGCTAAATGTGAAAGGAACCCAAGTGTCCACCAATGTACGAGTGGATAAACAAACTGTGGCCCATCCACACAATGGGATATATTCAGCCTTGAAAAGGAAGGACCTTCTGACACACGCTACAACTGGATGAACCTTGAAGACATTACACTAAGTGAAATAAGCCAGTCACAAAAAGACAAGTACTGGCCGATTCCACTCACATGAGGCGCCTACAGGAGTCGTATTCTCAGAGACAGCAAGCAGAATGGGGGCTGCCAGGGCTGGGGAGGGGGAGAAGGAGAGCTGTTTAATGGGGACAGAGTCTCGGTTGTGCAAGATGAAAAAGTTTTGGAGATGAGTGGCAGAACAATGTGAATATGCCTAACATTACTGAATGGTGCAACTAAAAATGGGAAGACAGTAAGTAAGAGATTGTGGTTTTTAACCACAATTTAAAAAACTGTCCTGACAAGTCTGAAGACCATCTGCCATCCCACTCTACCCGCTCTGCACTCTAACGTGCTCCAAGCATCTGCCACAGGCCAGGCTCCATGCTAACACTGAGGACACAGAGGCTGCCCGGGAGTGGGGGGTGGGGGTGGGGCTGCAGTCAAAGGAAACAACAGGTGACACACACACAAAGCAAGTGTAAGCATGAGAAAAGCCACAGAAACCAGGAGAGACAGCCTCTGGGAGCAGGTGGCGTTCAGGCTGAGACCCTAGGGACGAGGAGGAGGGCAACGGGCAAAGCGCAGAGCGGCCAAGAGCAGGTAGGGGAGGATGGCAGCAAGAGCCATCCTGGGGATGGAGATGTTCCCACACAGCCACATCTTGCATACTGTGGCCCTCGGAGCAGGTGCAGGCTCTGTATCCCTCAGCTCTCTGCACACCACTGGGCCACAGTCGTGCCTGCATCCTAGACTGGCTCTATCCTATCTTTGCTGGCCCAAAGGCAGGAGAGAGACAGAATTCAGGGAGCTGTCAGATGGGAAGCTGGCCCCTACACTAGGTGAACTGGGGGTGGTAGCTTGAGAGAGAAGTCAGTACAAGACACTGAGCTGAGGGAGGCAGAGGACTTCCTGGAGGAGCTGGAGGAGAAAGTAGAGCAGAGCTCAAGGAACCACTGGGGACGACCAGAGGACACTCTCCTGCAGCTTCACTGTACCCCCAGGTTTCCAGCACCACCACCCTCAACAGCACTCTAGGTCATGGTCTGTGGCTGCAGCCTGCCAGGGCGGGACACAGTCCACACCAACCTGAGATCCCTACCTTGCTGGGGGTTTCAGGAGCAGCTTTCCAAAATGAGTTCCCAGGAACATCCTGCATTTACAAATATGCAAATACCCACTGCCCCTGCCCTGCCTGCCCTAGAGCCATCTGCTCCTGGCTCTAACAGCTTTCTCTCTGCAAGTTCCCAAAGTGCTTTGCTGCCTACACACATGACCTTGACTTCCTGGTTAACCTCACCCACTCCCCGGGGCAATCCCACACCCAGCACTATGTCACCTCACACGCAGCATGATGGCCTGAGAACAGGCCCAGCAACCCACAGGTGGCTCTGAACGGCCTGAGCATTAAGCTGGGGCCCAGCCACCTATAGGCTGCTCCCTGGTCGACCCTGCCCACAGCAGCTCCCTTACGGTGTTTTGCCAGCTGCAGCCAGTCTACAGTGGCAGTGATGCCACCATCTCAGTTCTGGAAACCCTGCTACAAACCCCAAAGGGCCAGGAGGCAACCAGGACAAGCTCTCACGTTTAGTTCATCAGAACACTTCCATGGAGCAGTTGTTGGCCTGGGTTGGTATTTTAGTTCATAATGGCCCTCGACTGAGAGCAGCTTACAAAAGCCCTGTGTGCTGTAGCACTAAGGTGCCCCCCCGAGCCCAACTGTGAGCTCCAACCGCTGGTCAGAGCAAACCCTCCCCTGAGAGAAAAAACACCAAGAAATCCCGTCAGCCACAACCAAATCACAGTGAATATCAAACGCAGAGATGAATCCCTTTTGTATTGCTATTTTTAACACTCCAGGGAAAAACTAATATTTACTGAGAGTACATTTTTGACAAGCACCATGTCAGTGCTGTGCATGTATTAACTTCTTTGCAGATGAGAAAACTGAGGCACAGGGAGGCTAAGGACCTGCCCGAGACCCTCAGCTGGCCCAGTGCTCCCAGGACAAAGGCCTCTGAGGATGCAGGGCTGCCTAGCCCGATGGGTCTTGCTGCCTCTAGACTCTGCCTCTCCAATCAGCCTGCTGAGGCAGGCTAAGGACCCCTTAGGATTGGGGTCCCCAGCTTCCTGCCGGGCTCTCCCAGAGATGATATAAACTCAAAGCCAGCTCCTGCGCCCAACAGGTTGGACCTCCACATCCTGCTGCATTCCAAACTACTGCAGGGTCCCCACACACACACTCCCATTGTCCTTTCCCTCCTGCCGCCTCCCTGAGATCTTGCACTCCTTATGACTGAGCCCCACGTGACCTCTCCTGCTGTTGGGGGCCCTGCACGGTCCTTGCAGGACACAGGACCTGTTTCTAGTGGGATGAAAGCTGCTTTATGGGGGCTGGCCAGTGGCTCACTCGGGAGAGTGTGGTGCTGATAACACCAAGGCCACGGGTTCGGATCCCATATAGGGATGGCTGGTTAGCTCACTGGGTGAGCGTGGTGCTGACAACACCAAGTCAAGGGTTAAGATCCCCTTACCGGTCATCTTTAAAAAAAAAAAAAAAAAGCTGCTTTATGCATCTTGGTGTCCTGAGCAAACTACATGGAGCAGGTGGTTGATAAATTATTTTTCAAATTGTTTAAAAGCAACTAAACCATTGCTAACACACAGAAAGCTTGTAATGATTTTTAAGGGAATAATTTTTAAAGAAAAAGATTAAAAGTTTCTTTCAAAGAAAAAAAGCCAACTCCTATCCCTACTTGCAAAGAGAAACAGGAAACCCCAAGCACATTCAGTCCCAAGATAAACCTAGATTCAACTCCCCTCTAGATTTCCAATCTCTCTACCTGTCAGCCCTTGAGGCCAGCTTTCTCCTTCTAACTTGTGAATTTCAGATTACTTTCTTTTTTTTTTTTTTCAAGATGACTGGTAAGGGGATGTTAACCCTTGACTTGGTGTTGTCAGCACCACGCTCACCCAGTGAGCTAACCAGCCATCCCTATACAGGATCCGAACCCGTGGCCTTGGTGTTATCAGCACCGCAGTCTCCCGAGTGAGCCATGGGCCGGCCCCAGATTACTTTCTTTTTTTTTTTTTCTTTTCCTTTTTTTGTCTTTTTTACTGACCGGTAACAGGATCGCAACCCTCGGTGTTGCGCCCGTACCGGGGACTGGCAACGGGATCGCAACCCTCGGTGTTGCACCCGCACCGCGCTCAGCCAGTGAGTGGGAACCGGTCTCCACATGGGATCCGAACCCTCGGCGGGAGCGCCGCCGCGCTCACAAGCGGCGCACTCTCCAGTGCGCCACCGGGCCGGCCCCCAGATTACTTTCTTTTAAAAGAGAAAATAGAAACAGAACAGTACCGAGAAGAAAATAACTACTCACCCACAGCCCCACCACTACAAATGAGCCACTTCAGATCATTTCTTATGAAGACCATAATATGCAAGCACAAGGTTTCACTTCAAAGGGAGTTGAGCCACTTATTGCCAGCAAAGAGCAGACTTTGATCCTCCTTGTCAAGGCTCTGGAAAACCTATATATAATTTCTGCAGAGACAACCTGGTTTTTGTGTCATTCCTGATCTTTAAACACCACAGAACTGTTTAAAGAACAAATATAGAACAGAGAAATAAGGGTAAGGACTTAATGGCAAAACAGATTAAGACCAAAAAAGCAACAAAAATAGTTAGCTCAAAATCACCCCAATTCACACAGACAAAGGGAAATGAGAGGAACTGTAATCCTCCTCCAGACCTTAAGCACTGAAAGACACACACTCTGTGCACACGCTGAGCACATGCAACCTGCCTTTTTGCTCTTTGAGTTTGGATGCACATTCCAAATTCAACCAGGTGCTAAGAGAGACCAAGCAAGAACACGTGTCACTCCTGAGATCATCCTGAACGTCTGGACTGACCCCCACAGCGAAAATCGACAGAGGGCCAGGTCCTCAGTCACTTTACTGAAGAGAAAACTCTGCCACGCAACTGTTAAAACCTCCTGGGATTCAAATGACAAACAAAATGAGGTGCTCACCTATTTCTGAAAAAGATTTTTATGGCCATTTTTTAAAGTCTCCTGGGCAGAGAGCCCTCTGCCTCCCCTCTAGAAAAGTCCTTTCGAGGTGCACAGGGGGAGACTCGGTTTGCGTTGGGCGGTAAAGGGCGGGCGGGCTGGGCGGCTCGTCCTCGCCCCCAGAAGCGCGAGATCTGAAGGGGGATACTACCCGCCCTCCGGCCGCCCGGCCCGGGGCGCCCCCGCAGACGCCACCATCCCAGGTGCCAGCGCCAGCCTTACCGTCCGCGAGTAGACCCGGGCATAAGCCCGAACCCGCCGCCGTCCGCGAGGAGACCCGCTCTCGTTCCCGACCCCGCCGCCGTCCGCGAAGGGACCTGGCCTGTTCCCGAGCCCGCCGGGCAGACGCCCGCCCCGG